CAAGCTGCCTCTTGGTTCAATGGTTGATCCCAAGCTCAGCTTGAGGGGGTGTATTGAGACAGATGCCAAATCATCCAAACAAGTCACTGATTAGTCATAACTGTAACCAATTAGATATGGTATTTGTGTAATTAGATTTAGAAACTAAGGGCACTAGTGTAGCTAGATTGTGGCTATATATATCATCTTGTATTGTTGTAATTATTTTTTTAATGTGAATGAAAAGTCAGTTTCTATAAGCACTACCCTTAGGGTTTAGGGATAACAAAATTTTTGATGAAGTTGTTGACTGTTTCAAGTAATTTTTGGTACGTAATTAATTATTCGTTATACTCAAGTATACAAAATCAGTCTAATTTCTACAATTATTTCAAGCGTAATAAACATAGTCTAAAAGAGAACTTCAATATCCATTACACATGAAAAAGAGATGAAAATTTGTAAACTACTATATGTACTTCACTTAAGCTGCTCATCGTTGACTTTTCAGTGTCATTGCATATGAAATCTTGATTGTCATAATACATATATATTCTAAAAAGTTCTTTAGAAAAAAAAAAAAGAAAAAAAAGGGAAGTCCTTTAGAAGATTACATATGCAATTATGCATCAAGAATATATTATGACAATCAAGATTCAAGAAATCATATATACTTACCCTCGTACTCATTGCTAAAGAATGAACCAGGTTGTATCTTAATGTGTTCTTGTTTTTTTTTCTGCAAGCTTGGCTTACATGCAGGAGCACTAGGGTTCCAATTCCATGGCGTCAAGAACCAGTTATCGAATTCCAAGAAGGATGTCAGTTGCCTGTAGTCGATGGAAGATATCAAATTCTTTAGACACATTAGAAGGGATTATAATGTTGGATTTTTAATAACACAAACTTCTCCGTATTGGAGTATAATTATAGTTACTAGATCAACGAGTTTACCATTCTATCATAATAATTCATTAGATTAATCTAATCCATTAAAAGGTTTAATTTTTTTTTTCACATACGTGGGTGTACCTATAGAATGTAGGCCTGGCAAACGGGTCGTGTCAGTCGTGTTCGTGTCGTTTTCGTGTAACACCTGTTATCTTAACGGGTCGTGTCGTGTCACACCTGTTATCTTAACGGGTCCTTAACAGGTCAGGTCACTTTACCCAACGGGTAAAGTGACCCAACCCATTAAGACCCGTTATGACCCGTTAAGAAAAATATTTTTTTTTTCTTAAATTTGCATATACCATACATTGTCACATAAATATTACTTCACAACATTAAAACACATTTGTCGCTTAAGTACTACATCTACACTCGAAAATAAGAGTCTCATAAAAATACACTACTAATCTATTACAAATATTAAATGTGCAAGGATATGCAAAATAAAAGCGTTTTTGTTTTCAAGGTTGTGAAGCCTTTCTCAAAAGTTTAAATCTTGCCAATGGAACTCAAAGTTTAATGAAAGTGACCCACTAGTGTGTTTATTCGTACTTTTATTAAGTATAACATAAGATTTTGTGGTATCCACTAGTGTAAATATTTTAAATTGAAGATCAAATTCAATCATTGTATTCATATAGGGTCAAGGAGTGTAGTTGTAAAAAATCATCAAAATCGGAGTTAAAATAACCGATAAATTGTGATTTTTCGTTTATAACCGTCGAAAAGTTTTGTCCCGTTACTTAATCTTTAAATGTTTGTTTTTTGCAATTTTTGGCGTATGCGATCTTGAAGCATATACAAACAAGTATGACGGTTAGATCGTTGAAACTAGTTTCGTAGAATGCGTATCCCATCAAAACAATAGATTCACTAACACTTAAAGTTTATTCTTACTTTCATTAAGTATAACATAAGATTTTGTGGTATCCACTAGTGTAAATATTTTAAATTGAAGATCGAATTCATTCATTGTATTCATATAGGGTCAAGGAGTGTAGCTGTAAAAAATCATCAAAATCGGAGTTAAAATAACCGTTAAATCGTGATTTTTCGTTTATAACCGTCGAAAAGTTTTGTTTCGTTACTTGATCTCTGAATGTTTTTTTTTTTGCAATTTTTGGCATATGCAATCTCAAAGTATATACAAACATGTTTGACGGTTAGATCGTTGAATCTAGTTTCGTAGAATGCGTATCCCATCAAAACAATTGATTCACTAACACTTAAGAGTTTATTCATACTTTCATCAAGTATAACATAAGATTTTTGATATCCACTACTGTAAATATTTTAAATTGAAGATCGAATTCATTCATTGTATTTATATATGGTCAAGGAGTGTAGCTGTAAAAAATCATCAAAATCGAAGTTAAAATAACCATTAAATCGTGATTTTTCGTTTATAACCGTCGAAAAGTTTTGTCTCGTTACTTGATCTCTGAATGTTTTTTTTTTTGCAATTTTTGGCGTATGTGATCTCAAAGTATATACAAACATGTTTGATGGTTGGATCATTGAAACTAGTTTTGTAGAATGCGTATCCCATCAAAACAATTGATTCACTAACACTTAAGAGTTTATTCATACTTTCATCAAGTATAACATAAGATTTTGTGGTATCCACTAGTGTAAATATTTTAAATTGAAGATTGAATTCATTCATTGTATTCATATAGGGTCAAGGAGTGTAGCTGTAAAAACGTTTCAAAATCAAAGTTAAAATAACCGTTAAATTGTGATTTTTCGTTTATAACCGTCGAAAAGTTTTGTCTCGTTACTTTATCTATGAATGTTTTTTTTTTGTAATTTTTTGCTGATACGATCTCGAAACATATACAAACAAGTTTGTCGGTTAGATCGTTGAAATTAGTTTTGTATAATTCGTATCCCATGAAGTTCAATGGTGTGTGTGTGTATATATATATATATATATTTATTAAGTAGATTTAAATCTATTTATTTTGTATGTATAATTATTATAGTTTTCAGGGGTATAAAATTTAATATATATATATATAACTATTATAGTTAATATTTTGGGGGTATAATTATTATAGTATATATAATTATTATAGTTAATTTAATATATATATATATATATATATAATTATTATACTTTTTAGGGGTATAAAATTGTTAAATTAATATTCTGCTTATCGTGTATCGTGTTACCCACGTGTATACCCGAACCAACCCGTTATCTTAACAGGTGCTTATCGGGTTACCCGATAACGACCCGTTTCGTTATCGTGTCGACTCGAATACCTGTTAATTTCGTGTCGTGTCGTGTCAGGTTATCAGGTCGTGTCAGGAATTGCCAGGCCTAATAGAATGGATGTGTTTTTCCTATATAAGCTTCCGAATTAAAATTTCCCTTAAAAAAGAAATTTATTAGTTTAAAGTACAATATCATTAATAAAGACAAAATCAATTGTCTTACATTGTAACAAAAGAAATACAATTCATTAAAAGAAATCGCAATTTGTAAACTACTTCACTTTGCTTCTCAATCTCTATATCCTTGATGGTTTCTCCTTCCTACTACGTTGACTTGCCATGGTTCTCGTTCATTATTCATTCAAGATCACAGCCCCTTAAAATCATTGCAGTAAACTCATTGTAGTACGTATACTGATCATGATCATCGTCTCTTACTGCAACGAGTTCGCCCTCGTATCCACGGGTAAAGAATGAACCAGGTTGGAACATGATGTAATCTTGGTTTGTTGTCTCCAAACTTGATTTACTATCACTTGTTGAAGGGGCACTAGGGTTCCAGTTCCACGGCGTCAAGAACGAGTTATCGAACTCCAAGAAAGATGTCAGTCGCTTGTAGTCGATGGTTGGTATATGATCCGCCATTACTTGATCAGCTTCCACAAACTTAGATTGTAGTTCTTCTTGGATGGTTGGTTCATGATCCACCATTACTTGATCAGCTTCCACAAACTTAGACTCTAGTTCTTCGTGTTCCATTCGAGCAGATGATTCAAGTGTCGTGAAACTGATGCAAGACATGTTGCTTGGGGTCTTGTTTGATTGGTGAAAAGCGAATGAAGGCTTCTAATTTTGTTTTCTTAGAGCTTTGGTGGTTTTGGTGAATGAGTGTTTTACCCTATTTATATAGGTGGGGTAACTCCTAATAAAAAATGGTCTAGGATTTTCAAAAAAGTTCAATCCTAATTGGAGAGGCATTGTGTTCAAAAATATTTCTTAACAATCAAGAAATTATTATACGTTTTATCTATATATATAAAGTGAGCACCCTAAAATGGTGAAACATTCAAAATACCATAAATTGTCTTTTAAGAATTTCATAAATTACAATTGAACCAAAAGAAGCTAAAGTATTTAACCATATTTTTATTTTGAATGAATTTAATATTTAACATTATAGAAAAAAAAACAAAAAAAACAAATCCTCCCACATTAGTGGGTGGTTTCACGTTTTTAATTCATTCCTTCTTTTTTTTTTTAAATAATTTTTTTTTAAAATATGTAAATTAATTATTTAAATAAAAGATATATAAAAATGTCAATTGCCACACGCGTATGCATGTGGTAAGAGGCTAGTCATATATAAAGTTAGAAGGCTAATTCCAAAAAATACTCCCTTTTAATTAAAATTTAATTTAAAATCTACCAACAGAATTAAATTACACGTGTAATGGACAGTTTTTTTTTCCCCTTAATTTTTAAAATAAAAATATAAAAAAATCTAAAGAAAAAATAAAATGATAAAAAGCCTAATTTGCTATTGAAGCAAAAGCCAAAAACAAAAGGGGTGTGTTATCTACACACCTCTTTTTACTTCTCACACACTTCTTATTAATTTATGTCTTTTAATCTCATTCAATTCATTCGATCCGATAGATTAAAATTAAAAGAGTATGAAAAGTAAAAAATGATGTGTGGATATTACACCCTAAGACGAAACTACACTTGATTCAAGACCTTCTTTGTAATAAACGGCTGTGATTCGTTATTAATCGCACACATGGACGGTGATGACCAAAGTAACCGTGAGTTTCCTCGCATGCGGCCTCACCGAATTTTTATTTTCTTTTCCGGGAGAAAAGATCGAGTGCTCCTCAGCTACCCTAACATCCCCTCTCTCTCTCTCTCTCTCGTTCTCTCAAATTTTCAATTTTTTAATTTCGTCGCCGGAGTGTCTTCGCCGGCAAATTGATCGGTCGTCGACCGACCATGGGCCTGCTGCCGCTAAGGGTACGGTTGCTTGTAATATCATATCCTTCTTCATTTCTAGGTTCACCGCTTTTGCCATCTCATGCAGTTGTAGAAGAAATTTGGGGATTTTTTGTAGGGATTTTGTTGAATTTTAGGGTTTGAATTGACAGAAAGTTCATACGCTTCTGAATTTTTAATTTTTGAACATCTCTGTGTATGTGTGCGTATATGCAGATGGAATTCATCAGTCCGTGCGTGTTGACGCTCACGGCAGAAATGGAAGAGTAAAGGGGATATTTTTTACTGTGAAGTAGGAGGAGGAAAATGGTAAGTTGTAACTTTTTCCCCCTACTAACTCCAATGTGTTCATCTGGTTGGACTTGGTGCTGGTGGTTGCTTAATTGTGGCTTTTGTGTGTTGGTGTGGTTTGCTTATTGTGATTTATTTTTCAAATTAATTATCCTTGTGGTGTTTATGACTGCAACATTCTTTCGTTGGGGTACGATTCGAAGTTAAAAATTTTAAGAAATCCTCTTCTTAAACTTTGGCATTGTGTGGTTATTGTTAGTACCTCGACGCTGCAATAATACAAGGCTAGCGAGAGGGTGATTTCGACTAGAGTGTGTGTTATAGTTTGTTTCGGCTGCACTTGAAGTTCTCATTTATTTGGTATATCAGTATATCATGTTTGTAGATAGATTTCCAGGTGTTGTGTCGTTCTTTTAGGATTGTCAAAATTCTGAAATGTTTAGATGGTCCAAAGTTGAAAGGATTAAGCATATGATTAGTTGATGAAATTTTACGCAGTTTGATTTAAGTAAAATGCTTTAAAAGTTTCCTTTTAGTGTTATTGTCTTAATCATTAGACATGTGTGCATGTTTAAGCATGCAATGGATAAAGTTTCATTTATTGAGTATTTGGTACTGGCAGTCTTTCCAGAACAAGGGTTTTTGGATGCCAAAGAGCGGCGGATATGTAAATGAGGGAGAGGGAACTTTTGGCAACCCATCAAGAATTGAGCCAAAGCGATCTCAGCAATGGTTTGTAGATGCTGGTGAAGCAGAGCTGTTTCCAAACAAGAAGCAAGCAGTACATATTCCAAACAGAAAATTGAGCTCGGAAATGTCAAATGAAAATGTCCCTTCTTGGGAGAATGCTTCAGGCTTCCAGTCAGTTCCGCATCAATTCATTGACCGGTTATTTGGATCTGATACAGCAAGCTCTGTCAGCCTTGCTGAAAGGAACGTGTCTCCTGTCGGATCAGGTAATTGGAATCTAAGGAAGGGTATCGGTGACCAGTTTGGAGAAGTTGGATCTGTTAGTTTGTCAGTATCTCATGCTATGGAAGATCCTGAAACTCTTAGCTATGCTGGAATTAGAAAAGTCAAAGTCAATCAGGTCAGGGACGGTGACAATGGTATGCATGCGTCGAGGGAAAATGGTTCCAATAGGGAAAATAATAGTAACCTGTCCACAAATCAGGCATTTGATAGGGTAAATGAAACTGGTTTTTTATCAGTGGGGCAGGCCTATGATAAGGAACACGGTAGTGTCTCATTAATGGGTCATGCGTACAACCAGAGGGATGACCATGGCAGACCAATAGGTCCCAACTATGGCAAGGGGGATGAAAGTGTGGTAGCATTGGCTGACAGTTATAATAAAGGGAATGCAAGTATGGTATCTTTTGGGGTGTTTCCTGGTGATCAAGATGTAGCCATGGGAAGACTCGTTGGTAACTATGATCAATTATACCATCCTTCTTCAGTTCAAATATCAGAAACTGCGTGCGAGAAGGAATTGGACACATCAAATGCCAGTGCAGTTGATAATACTGCCTTTGTAGCCAAAACAAGACCTGAGTCAGTTTTGAAGAATAAACCCGAGGTCAAAACGTCAAGGAAACAAGCTCCAAACAGCTTCCCGTCGAATGTTAGGAGCTTGATTTCTACGGGCATGCTTGATGGGGTTCCTGTAAAATATGTTTCCTTGGCACGTGAGGTAAGCTCCTGAGCTTCTTGTTCATTTTTGTTCAGTTAGGAATCTAGGATTTCGTTCTAATGACTTGTTATATCCCTTTATGTAACAAGGAGCTTCGAGGGATTATCAAAGGTGTCGGCTATCTATGTGGGTGTCAATCATGTAATTATGCTAAGGTAAGTCTTCCTCTCAATAAACTACTCTTAAGGTAAATCATCCGATTGTTTCTCTTCTTGTTTACGTTTTATCATGACACAACATGGATATTTGGTTTATGGAAGGTGCTTAATGCTTACGAGTTTGAGCGCCATGCTGGTTGCAAAACAAAGCATCCAAACAATCACATATTCTTTGAGAACGGCAAGACCATCTATCAGATAGTGCAGGAATTAAAGAGCACGCCTGAGAGCTTGTTGTTTGATGCACTTCAAACTGTGTTTGGTGCTCCGATCAATCAGAAAGCTTTTAAAAGTTGGAAAGGTAATGAATTCCAATTATTGTTCTCTTCTTTCTGTGACTTTAAACATTCATCAATTTTAAATTTGTATCCAGCATAGCTTCTCTCGTCCTTTCGCTTATTTACACGTTTATTCCTCAGAATCCTTTCAAGCGGCAACTCGTGAACTTAAGCGTATTTATGGAAAGGAGGAACTGAACTTGTAGGCGTATTTGTATAGAAGATTGGAGAGAAAGTTTTTCTTTTTACGCGTGAAATAATCACTTTTTAAAGTATTTTGTATGTAAATGGATGGAGGAATTATGTTTTTTTGTTAAATTGGGTACAGTTCAACTGCCCTTTATCTTCTATGGCAGAGTTTATGAGTCAATCTCGTTTAACCCATCATACATTTAGGTTTCTCTGATTCCGACATTATCCCTTGAAAATTTTAGAAAACAAATAACCATTCTCTGTTTCCCTTCCCCTTCCCCTTCTCCTCACCCTCGACTGTCAGCAGTAGGTGGCGGTGGTGATGTCGGAACTAAGGTTACGGTGCTGCTCTGTGTGCTATGGCACTGGTTGGGGCAGTCATTTTGGCTAGTGGTGAACATGGTTTCAGATTCCTTGTCATGAAATTGGAACAAAGTTTTCCGTTGGCGATACCGTTTGGACGAACGTTACATCCTGACTTAGGGTATCAAATTATGATGAGGGGTTTTGCAAACTATAAAAACATGTGACAAAGGGTTCACGTTTAGACACATGAAAGTCTTCAGATAATAAGCATCCAATCTATCTTTTAACACACTGAGAAGAAGGGGCAGTAAACAAAAATGTGCCTGCCACGGGTGTTACACGTCAATTCTTTACCACGAAAAAGTAAAAGGATAAAAATCTGAAACAATAAGAAACTACCTTTCACACGCTAAGTTTCGAAAGAATGATAGAAAGGAAGAAAAAAAGGAAAGAGAAGATTACAAGCACCATCATATTGTATCGTAATACAATTAGCTTTTTCGTCTTTTCGAACATTTGTATGTCTTCAATATGCCCCCCGTTGATCACAATGTAACCAACTTAAGAACCGCAGCAAGCTGATCTTTGTGCAGCTTGACCGCCCCCGGCTCCCTGGTCAGGTTGGTTGATCTTGATTGTGGTAGGCTACAACGCCGGAACAAAACCAAAGTCATTCAAATCCTTGAACAAGCGAGTTTCGAAAAAATAAATGTAGATTATATCTTTTTAATACAAAACCAGGAAAGCAAATGAAATACCTCAGCCCTAGTGTCGGTATCTGCAAGCCGTTGCTTTATGTCTCTTGCTATCGAAAAGAAAACTTGCTCCACATTAAGATTCGTCTTTGCACTCTGCGTTACACAATATCTTCAGTAAACGGAAACACTTATTATTCAACTAGTTTCCGGAATTCATAGGCGTTACTTACAGTTTCAAAGAACTTGATCCCATATTCGTCAGCAAGTGCTTGGCCCTTGGAGGTAGGCACAGCCTAAAAGGAGAGTGAAGATAAGATCAGGAAGGGTGCAAACATATGTTTCCGTAACTAAAAAAATTCCGAGCAAAACTAGGACCCTGATAAGAATTGCCCCATTTACTAAGACCAGGAAGAAAACTCTTGCTATGGTGCCAACAAGCATCATCAACATGCAAGATTAACAAGCTTGCCCACTGATAACTCAAAGCAATCTAAATAAAGGAGTCTTATGATGATAAATTTCAAGCTCAAGCTCACCCGTCTGCTTTCGTCCATGTCAGCCTTGTTCCCTACAAGTATTTTGTTAACATTATCTGATGCATGCTGTTCAATGTTGCGAATCCAATTCCTTATGTCTGAAAGCAGCAACAAGCCAAGTGAGAAACTTTCGAACAAAGCAGATTCAAGTAAACCAAAAGTAGAAGAGAGGCAGATGTTGACAGGTACGAAATTAGAGTAAGGGAGAGAAGTTTACTATTGAAAGATGATTCATCGGTTACATCATAGACCAGCAAAATGCCCATGGCTCCACGATAGTAAGCTGGGACAGAAGGAATAGTTAATAGAGAAGAAAATTTATTATCTAAAAAGTAATAGAGCACACACAACACACCAGCAGGGCATTCAAAGATATGAAGTCACTTCCATGTGACTCGCAGGCCCTATTGCAAAGTTTTTCATAAAAAGTTTCATCCATTATTTATAAGGAAAACTAATGAAAAGGGTTTGAAAACTTTGAGTTTTAATGATAAGGACAAAATAAAGGGTAAAGTGAATAGTACTATGATTGACTTTTTAATGTAAAAATGTGGTTTTTCGTTAAAGTGAACAGTACCGTGAGCTTTTCGTTAAAGTTCCCTTATTTATAAAGTTCTAGCTCCTGGTTAAAAAAACATAGGGTACTCGCAGGCCACTTCAATGTGCCTCCTCACCCTGCCGCAAGTAACAGACTCAAGCAGCTAGTTAACTGATCACAGTTCCAGTAACTAAATACTTTGTGGGAACTTTCATTATGGGCTTGCAAACCCATGGAAATACTGGGCTCTGCCAGCACCAATTGAGGAATTCATCAGATACAAGAAATGACATCTTTCCCAGTTTCTTTTTGTAAGTGTCATCCAATGTACATGCTAGTAAAAGATGCTCTGCATCTGAATGTGCCTGTTTCATGCCTTATTTTGCGACCTACTTGTCCAGCATGCCTGCTTGGCACTAAAAGTCAACCTATACCCTTTTTCTAGTCTAGAATATATGACCATAAGCATTGCATTTCCTCCTTTACTGCTGGGTTCCCATGTTCCCCAAGCGCCATTCTGGTAACAGCCTGCTTATAATCCACCTTTTAATGGGACCCTCACTCTACTCTTTTCTTTTTAAAAGGCACATTATTTGGATCCAATCGCTATTTTCTTCAATAGCCACTTGTAACAAAGAACTATGACTTTTCTGGCCAATTTTTTAGTAAGGAACTCAGGATGTAGAATTTAAAACCTTGTCTCTAGAAAAACTCTAAAAAGTGGAAAATAAAAGGTGTCGAAAATCTCATGCAAATCCATCTTCCATCAAGAGCAACATGGGCAATGAATATACTACCATCAGTATTTTGTAAAATCAACATGCAAGTACCTATGATAATAAATTTTTACCAGTTGTGATTGTACGGAACCGCTCCTGACCAGCTGTGTCCCAAATTTGGAGCTTAATTCGTTTTCCATCAAGCTCAATGGTCCTTATCTTGAAATCAATGCTTCACAAGGATAAATAAGCCCATGAGGTTTAGGAAGCTTCTAAACAGAAAAACTTATCAGATGCAATTAACGCTAAGGCTAGGGAACACACACCCAATGGTTGTTATGAAACTAGTGGTGAAGGAACCATCTGAGAAACGCAAAAGAAGGCAACTCTTACCAACACCTGCAAAGATAAATAGAAATTATTAAGAAATGTATCCAATTTAGCCTATCTGCCAAGTACATTATTTGTAATATCAAAATTCCTATACCAATTGAAGCAGTCAACATGCTACCGACCGTGTCAAGTAAGAACTAGAGTCTCCAATTTATTGACAGATACTACTTAGTTAGGCATTTGCTAATCTAAACATATTGCAGTAAAAGCTCCATAATATAATCGATAAAGCGGTTCATAAAAACCACATTTTGGTTAGCAACCTATTATAAGTTACTACTCACGTATATGAGCAAATACACGCGACTAAACTAGCAAGACATTGCATTCAACACAAACTTTAAAAGAAAAAAACTGAAAAATCATAAACACGAATGCATGACTTCATTTTATCTGAATCAGAAGCTCAAACAACCGTTCATAAATTCGACTACATTATAATCAAATGCTCACATTCTTTGACACCAGAAGCTCATAAATCAGGAAAAAATAATTTCAATCTGAATCAAACCAGATCTAAACTACCCAGAAAGGAAAACTCCTTTTTCCAATATACTTCTGATTGAAACCCTAAGCTCATCAAATCTTAAAGCCTAAAGCCACACTCTTGTGATCTCAATGCGAAAATGCTACAACTTTCCAATACATCATACCATTTGCTGCAAAATTGACACATTTAAACATAAAATCGATCTAAAAATCCAGGAAAAAATACTCACCGCTGTCGCCGATCAACAGAAGCTTTATGAGGTAATCGTAATCGGCTCTAGCCCTTGCCGGTGGAGCAGCCATTCTGTTTTTTTGGGTTTTTTTTTTTTATCTAATCAATGAGAACTCCAATACAATCAAATCCAAACACTATCTCTCTCTGCATACATAATCAAAGAGAAACCAAATCAAAAACCCAGAAAGCATTCCTCCAGAAAAAATCATAAATCCATAAAAAAAAAAAGGAGAAATTAACAGCAGCAAAATACCAGATCAACAAAAAGAGATTTAGAGAGAGAAAGAGGAGGAGAGAGAGAGAGGGAGATGGGGATTTTTTAGGGTTTGGGTGCCAGAATTAGAGGGTGGGAGACCTTGAGCGGTTCACACAGACCTAGCAAAGCTCCTGCTCCGACTATGGTGGTTTGGCTAATAATAATGCGCACCGTCTCCTTCTCTTTCACCCTTTATTTTCCTTTACACCCTCTGCACACCATGCGCACGCTAGCAGATCTCAATCATTTACGCAAGAGAACGGATTTGTTTGTTGTTTATGAACTAAGGAAAAGTAGGAGCCAATGAGGATTTGACAGCTTGTAAACCTGGCTTTGGATGCCACGTGGAGTGGGGTTAGTGGGTGGTGGTGAGATGTGGTCCGGTAAATGTTGAACTCTTTGAGAAAAGTTTTAAGTATCGGGTATTCAGACGGTACTTTATATGTCATAAAATAAGCGGAGGAATACAAAAAAAAATATATCATTTTCTTCACTTATGTCATGAAATGTGAAGTATTGTATACAAACGAGTCTTATATGGACACCGATAATGACTAGTCAAATACGTGTTGTATATGAACGAGTCTTGTAGGAAATGTTGAACTATTGGAGAAATTTTTTTGAGTATTCAGTGTTCAAGCAGGTACAAATATCTTAAGACTTTTTTAATTAAGAGAAATATCCTGTTAATTTCATCTAATCATATAGCAACTGGTTGTGTATAAAAGCAAGGAAAACGTCAAACGACGCTGCTTCCATGGTTTGCAATATAACCAAACTAAAGACTGGTGTGGTGGAGTTAATCAAATATTGAATAATAATTGGGGGGTTATGTGGGTTAATAGATTTTTCAAGTGTGTTAGAAATATTACTCGTTATACCAAGTGTTATGGATATTTGAAAAAAAAAATTCAATCACTTATATTATGACATCGAGTGATAACTGATAGTGGCCCCACAATGTGACAACTGGTGGTGAGTTTGTGAAAATGTCTCCATGGTTGGCGACTTTGACTGGCCAAAAG